TAATTGTGATTACTGCTTACCCATACCTATAAATATCCACCAACAGTAATCACAATTAACACAAAATTCAGCCTTGATAATGGATGCAGAATGCATTCGAAACGCGTCGGCCAACTCATTGCTATCTACAACTTTTACCCGTTGTTCTAACAACGTTAAGACGGCTTATCGACTTCTTGAGAAGAATTCTAAGAAGAAAGTAAACCTACAGACATCGGTCTTGTTTAACAAAATCTGCTTACAGGAAAATCTGTCACCAAAGTACACCAACATTTATAGCTGTGTGAACTATTTCAATCACACACGACTCTGAGGAGACCCTGAGGAAGTACTCAATCATTTGCTTAGATTATAACAGCAAATTAACATAGGAAGAAACTTTAAATAGTTAAACTTAAGATTATTCAACATTGCACCAGTGTTTTTTGCATACTTAAACTCTGTATGGCACATCTTACATTTAATGGTGTCTTCTATTTTTGTAAAATGATTCCACACACATCTTCTTTTTTTGACTGCTTCACATTTATCCTATGCTTATTATTCAGAAGTAGTTACCAGGTCATGGGATATTTCATACCATGTAGTTTGAAGAACTAATGCAATTAACTCTACCCTTAGAACTGTATTTCTTTTTCAAGGAACAAGCCATGCTTAAAAAAAAAAGCAGAGAAACAATAAGGAGCAATAAAACATTGACCATTTCTTTCACAGATCCTGATTATCACTAATCTTAGACTATGCATTGTTAGCTGTGGCATAACCGCTCATACAACAGCTCCGAGTTGTTTTTAAAATACAAACTTTTAGCTCATAGCTCCATCATCTCTTGACCGATTTGAGATCTAATTGTAGTTTTGGAATCAGGAGGTCAAACCCTTTCGGTTGATATATTTGACTACACGCAAGGTCTCATAGATAAATTTACTCTAATCCTGCCTAAAAGAATTTAAGTTTGAAGGTAGGCTGGTAGAGATCCTGATGAGTAATAAAATCGAATTGGGTATACTCATGCCCCAAACTTGTTATTTCTGGCACATAAAAATATAGCTAATAAAAAGGAAAAAAGTTTTATAGATTAATTTACTCTAATCCTGCCTAAAATAATTTCAAGTGTCATGGGTATTGAGGATTCCCTCTTGTTAACTTGAGTAAAATAGCCTGAAGCTATTACTAATTTCGGTCTATGAAGCCAAACATGTGAGATTTACAGTGTCAGATATCAGTTATTGAAACAATTTGTATTATATATTAATTTCAATTTATCAACAGTATAAACAAATTGACTGTTTAACTTATTAACCTTTTACATCTCTGATTAATATAAAATCGTTTTAGGATATTTTAAGCTCTAAAATCTAACTTTTAGAACCCATAAGTAATACTCCAGAGTTTTTTCAAGGACTTGAAATGATTTGACAACTAATCTTTTATGGACTGATAAAAGTCTCAGAATAGAGACTGAAGAATAGTTTTTAGAAAGAAGATGGTACCAGGTTGAGTGTGAAACATGAAAAAATATACTTGATATGTTTTCCAAAACAACTTACACCATTAAAAACTTCAAAACACAATTATAATATAATACAATTATAATATCAGACTAATTGTTTCTGTCATCAGTTGATCTTGTCCACTCAGCTTCTTTCGTGGCCACTTAGTTTAAAATATTCATCGAAAGTGCAGAGAGAAGTAAAAATTATGATATACTGTTTGCTTGAAGTATACTTGAAATAAATTTTCATTTTCATTTATAATTAGCAAAACATTTTTCTCTTCAGAGATATGTAGCACTTATAACACAGTGGTTAAAACTTACTTGTGACCTTCTCCTCAGGCTGTATCATTTGATGTTGGCACATAAAAGTGTACATAGACTACCATTAAAGAAACATTTTTCTTCTAATATCAAAGGAAGAGTACAATATATTATACTAAATTAGGGTTAAATGTGCAAGGACACCTAGCTGTAAAAATGTATATGATTATTCGATGACGAGGAACCCACTTTGAGACTAATAATGGCTGGAGATGGCGTGAATGGGTAATGAAGAAAAACTTTAATATAAGTTTAACATAACAGCAAATGTACAACGTTTCGACAAGGTTTTGTCATCATCAGGTAAAAGTAATTTACACTGACATGGATATATATATATACAGTATTTGACAAAGAAGTCACATG